TATTTGTTCTTTATTTTGTGAGGAATGAAAATCGACTCTTCCGTCAACTGGAAAGTGATATTGGACATCCTTGTTTACATTATACATTTCTCTTTTGTTTGAAACATGGAGAAGATGGCTTTGTTAGGGACTCCATGGTGACAGTCATGTTAGACATAATTTACTCCATGAAATTAGTAAGTTTTATTTTTCATTTTTTTAAATATCCTTGGTACATTGTAAGGGAATTACAAGCGTAGGTGTTTGTGCTGTGGACAAATACTATAGTTTCATAAAAATCATGATAATAGAAAAACCTTTCACTTGGCATGAAATAAATTAAGTAAAATTGCCATCATAATAGGACAGATATAATAAAAAAAATAAAAATGAAAGGATATCTGTACTTGACACTGAAAAACAGCATATTTTCTTGTGATTATATTGGAAGTTCCTGTTTCTCAAAGAAAAATGAAATCCCCAAGTCTGAACACTTGTTTTTACTAAAAACAGTACAGTATAGAATAACAAGCATGTGATTGAAATATTTGTCAAAACGTTTGAATAAGATAGATTAAAAATACTTTGTAGTACTTTTCAAAGAGAAGCATCAAAGCACAAAGGGATTACTTAATCCTTTGGTTAAAATGATTATCAAGCATTGACACTTGATTAACAGGTGTCCTAATCCCATTGTCTACTAAGATATATTTTAGGTGGTTTGATCTACATGTAATCCCATTAAAATCACTTAACTTTGATTGATACTTACTTTATACAATTTGCATCAAATAAATAGGAATGCATACTGAAGACTCTGCTATTGGAATAGATTTGTATTAAAAAATAAAAAAGTATGCATTCTTTGAGCAGGTTTTGACATCCCAGAACCCTGAATTACATATTTTTGACATGTGAAATACATATTTCAATAAAATACCCATTGGATTGTAGTAATTGTTTTAGCTGAAAATGTATATATTTGCATGAGGGTAAACTCGATAATGTATATATTAGCAAGAATGAAAACTTGATAATGTAGCTGGTCATAATGCCTGGACATACAGATGGGATGCTTTTGTAGAATTTATTTTTGTCAGGATTATCGGTCAGCCAGCCTGGCGTGTTACATTGTCTGATGCTTATTATAACAAACTCTTGTCAACTTCTTGACCGGTCTAGTGGTTAGAGCCCTGGTGGAGTCATACCAAAGACTTACAAAAATGGACTCACAGCATTGTGTATAGGGTGCCCGCAGTTAATAGAGTAGTAAACGTTCTATGTAAATAAACCAACACTGTGTCAATTTGTCATGCATTTTTTTTTTAGAAATCTGTTTTATTTATTTAATGCATTATATTGTATGAATATTTGTTGACACTTTGTTAGGTGCGCTTGTGTCCTGTGTACTTTTGACTATGCGATTATTAACACATAGTGGTTGTGGGGATTTGTTAATAACTATGATGGTTCATTGTTCATTTATTCATGCCATTGGAGAGCAACAGTTTGAATATATAATGTAAAAGGGTTAGGAATTTGTTATATTCTTACTTTTAGACATCAATGATAGTGATGGCCATGATGATTGTAGTGATGATTACAATGGTATATAATTAACAGTATTGTTTATCATTATTATTATTATTATTATTATTATTATTATTATTATTATTATTATAAAAGGAATAAATTACTCTTACCATCTAGTCTCTACCACAAAATAGTCAACATAACATTTAAATCTTGCCAAAACTTTGTTTTACTTTACAACACTAAGGTTATGTGTGATAGATACCTTTTTGTTTTCTTCACTGCTTCAGTGAAGTGATCTTTTGTAGAGACTGTTTATTTGCAGAGGATTATCCATAATTTTTTTTTTTAATCTTTAATGTATGTGCACATATATTCATTTGCTTATCATCAAATAAAGGTTTTTCTATGCAAACCGTACTTGCATTATTTTTCAGCAGTATGTCCATTCAAAACTCTAGTGTACTTTTTGCTTGGTAATTATATGTTGGTGTCCAACTTTCTGATATAGTTTACTTTGATGGTAATTTTTTTTCTGTTCAGTACTCCTATTTGACACTATAATGTAATGTACATATACTTTTGTAATTATATGCTTCTATTCCACACTCTAATGTAGTGTATGTATACATTGGTATTTATGTGCTTCCATTCAACACTCTAATGTAGTATCAAGTACTCCTATTTGACACTAATGTAGTGTATGTATACATTTTTAATTATATGCTTCTATTTGACACTCCAATGTAGTGTATGTATACATTGGTAATTATGTACTTCTATTTGACACTCTAATGTAGTGTATGTATACATTGGTAGTATATCCTTCTATTTGACACTCTAAAGTAGTGTATGTATACATTGGTAATTATGTGCCTCTAGTCAACACTCTAAAGTAGTGTATGTATATATTGGTAATTATATGCTTCTACTCACACTATAATGTAGTGTATGTGTACATTGGTAATTATGTGCTTCTATTTGACACTCTAAAGTAGTGTATGTATACATTGGTAATTATATGCTTCTATTTGACACTATAATGTAGTGTATGTATACATTGTTAATTATGTGCTTCTATTCGACACTCTAATGTAGTGTCAAGGGCAGTTGTTAGTTTTGCTACTTCATCTTGATCATTTGCAGTCCAGTACTCTATTGTATGTTATACATTGGGAATTTTATTCTTCTGTTCAACACTATATTGTAGTGCATGTATACATTGGTATTTATATCCTTCTATTCAACACTATAATGTAGTGTATGTATATATTGGTATTCATGTGCTTCTGTTCAACAATCTAATGTAGTGTATGTATACATTGGTATTTATGTGCTTCTATTTAACACTAATGTAGTGTCAAGGGCAGTTATTAGTTTTGATACTTCATCTTTATAATTTGCAGTGACTGGAATGTTGTTCATTACTTGGAGTTTTACATATGATATTAGCAATGATCGAAATTCCACAATTCCAAAATCAATCCAGAACATCAAGAATCAACTTGCTTTGTTAGATCCATTTCATAGTCAATCCAGATAATAGATTATTTACTTGATGACTTCCCAGTATCATCAAATAAAGCAGAATGGATTATACCCTGATTTCTGAGAACATATTTTCATATTTAGCGTATTTGTCTATTGTAATATTATGACCATCTCATTACCTGAAGATATGTGAGAAAGCTCGTCAGTAGCTTCTCGTGGTTTCTGGTTCTTTCCAGTGATTTCCGGTTTCTTCCTCCACCATTAATACTTGCCGCCATGTATTGTGTGCTGAAAAATGGTGTTAAGCCCCACAACAACAACAACATTACCTGAAGATTGATGGTTTGATCTGTATCCCAGTCACATCCCCATCTTATGATTCAGGTCCATCTAAAGGCTAATAGTTGATAATATGTTTTCTTTTTTCAGCCGACACCAGTGAAAATCATCTGAAAATTTGTCACATACTGTACTCGTATTCATAGTTTCAAATTACCAGTGGAGAAAATTGTAGATGACAAGTTTATGATACAAAGAGTATACAAGTAACTAATGAATATTATTTAATTAGATCACTGCAGGAAATGTAGACAAAGTTGACATTGGTTTAATCCCAAATATAAGTTAACATTACTTTTACCCATCCTAAATGGAGACAGTTTAATTGAAGTCCCATGAGGAAGGCTGCTGCTTGTAATATGTTATGAAGTCCTACAGAGTGGCTAGATTTATTAAGTGTCACATGTATAGTAACTCCATTGGCAGATTTGTCAACTGCCACATCTATCACAACTGCATTGACAGTTTTATTAAGTGCCACATATATGGTAACTCTATTAGCAGTTTTACTTCGTAAGTGCCACGTGTATGGTAACTCTATTAGCAGTTTTACTTCGTAAGTGACACGTGTATGGTAACTGTAACTACAGTTTTACTTTGTAAGTGCCACATTTATGGTAACTGCATTGACCGACTTATCAAGTGCCACATGTTTTCATTAAGTCTCAAAGAGTTGCTGAATTTATTAAGTGTCACACCTATGGTAACTGCCTTGGCAGATTTGTCAACTGCCACACGTGTCACAACTGAATTTAAAGTTTTATTAAGTGCCACATGTTTGGTTACTGCATTGGCAGTTTTACTGAGTAAGCGCCACGTGTATGGTAACTATTTACAGTTTTATTGACACAACAGGTTAGGCAGGCGCCCATCGTTCAGTATTGCCTAAGTGCCCGCATCGGGACGCAAATATCCTAGCTACGCAACGTATATCGTAAGGTATATTAACACCTCAAAAATCACTGAGAATTTTAATTTAAGATTTTAAAAAAATACAATATGAGCTGATGAAATCTAAGGCTTACATCAACACAAATATGCCTGTAGCTTGGATGTCAAGTCATGGATTGATTGTACTAACACTGCGCTTTTACGACCGTTCCCCTAAACAAGCTTGCAGTATTTCTCTTGATTGTAAATTTACATGGGTAAATCGGTTGTGATAATCGTACTCCTGTTAATCTTTAAAAGCAGCGAGAGATTTTGGGAATTTTAATGTAGCTTTAATAATTTTAGTCAAATTTGCAGTGAGGCAATTTATATTGATTTCTAACATTGGGGAATCGTCTCTACAATCAAGCACATGGACCCTGTTGGACAGGGGGGGGTATAGGACCATTTTCTTGGCAAAAAGAAAAAGAAAAAAGAAAATACAATGAATTATTCATAAGTCTTTGGTTATTTTATCTATTCCTAAATTGCCTAAGTATATATGCCCGAGTTCCTCCGTAGGCCTACCGGGACTACCAACTTTAGGGCCCTAGTAAAGGAACTAATAACTTAACTAGCACAGGGCCTCATTTATCCTAAATCCGGCACAGAGAGTTCATGTATCATCTCCTCCCATACAGTTACATTATCCAAAAACATAGCCACTAGTCCTAACACTAACCTGTGAATGTTGAGCGTCAAGCGTGGCGGCTGCTACTACCGTTATTTGACTCGACCGGGGTTCGAACCCGCGAGCTCCCGTATTTAAGACGGATGCTCTAACTAATTAAGCTACTGGAGGAGAGAGAGGAGACTATTCACGATTTAGTCTGGATTCGTTTAATGTTTTGTTGCATCATTTTAACGATATACTGTTGGAAGGAAATTGGAATAAATTGTATTGAAATACGGTAACCGATCCACATTCATCAGAAAGTTGATGTCGTTTTCAAGTACAGAACGATAACTTCCGAACTGTCTTGCCTTAAGGCTTTGATCTAGTATATATATAAAAAAACAACAAATAATAAAGTCAGTTGACTGATATTCTCGAGTAGAAGCCATTTTTTCGTAGCCTATATGTCACTTTTTAAAATCTGCATATTTTGATCTTATATATATATATATATATATATATATATATATATATATATATATATATATATATATATATATATATATATATATATATATAAGGTAATATTTCTTTTGAGCGAGAAGTTTCCCCATGATGTCGATCGAACAATTAGAAAATTCCCAAGCTTTATAGCTATAATTATCATCAGAGTTCGGTATTTTCATCTGCATAATGTAACATTGCTCGCAACATTCACCGGAATCATGTTCTGCACCAAGACCAAATAAAAAATATATGTATAAAAAGATAAATTCATCCATCCATTCATCTATACATCCATCAATGCATGCATATCAATATAAATTCTACGATGCACTAAATGTCCAGATAGAATAATAAAAATGCAATCTCTCAGTGTCAATTTTGTTTTAATATAATAATCTAAGTTTGTCTTGTTTTCTTAGAGATGAAAAAATACCATTTCAACAGCTGAATTTGCTAAATTAATTTTAAAACATGCCCACAGAGAAATGATTCTTTTTTTTTGTCAATATCCGTTTGAACCGGATGTAATACACATTCCCTCTAATGATGCAAATCGACTTTTAGCCTATTCTCTGAGTGACTTGATATTTTGGTAAATTACCAAATAGTTTATCACTTTGAGCAGATTGTTGCGCTATTTGAGTTAATATAAAGTAGCCATTTAGAGTTTCAAAAGCAAAGGAATAAAGGTAAGACTCATAATTAGTAATAAATTTGGAGTATGTGAAGTTGTTTACAGCCTTTTAAGGAATTAACTGATGTGTGTGATTACTTGTTTGATTATGAGAAATCATTGCTGGGAATATGTTCTACAGCCCGAAATAATTAGCCAGTTGCTAGGAGCAAACGTAATGGAGTGAAGCGTTAGTGAGTTTCCACGATGCCATAGTTTACTTTTGGCGAATTCTGGCTAGAGCTGCTAAAGTGTCTCTTTAATGCCCTATAAAATCTAGTTGTGCACTTTGATCGTGCGACTCCAGGTGGAGTATTTAAGACTGGAGACTTTGTTAAGGACCAAATGTTTAGGTCGATCTTTGTTTGTTTATTAGTGTTAATCTATGTAGGAAACGTTTAGCTAGACGATTAACGATATCATGGGAAATGGCCGCATTTAAAAATCCATATTGTACGGCTTGGTTCAGCCAAAGTCAGGAGTTAAGGATATATAATTAAGCGTTTAGTTTGTTTAAACTTACTGGAACGGAGTTCATGTTATGTTTGTATAGAAGCCGACAGTTCTGGACATTGACCAGAAACCATTTGGTAACCATTTTTTTTTATAGACCTGCTGTAGTGTTTCGGTGCTTGGGGAAGCGGGAATTTTGTAATTCAGATTGCTTACGATGCGGAAGAGGGCATGGTTTCATACGAAATACTAAAGTTCAAATGTGCAGGAGTGGACTTCGAACTTCAGGATACGCTTTTCTACTAGAAGGAAGAAAATATGAGCATAAAGAAGACTCCGAAGAATTTAATGAGAAAATGTCTCGTTAATATAATTTATCCAAGGGCGAAACAATTGTCTGAAGGATTTGACAGATACCACAGATACCAAAAGCTTGAATCACAAGGTATTTTCACAAATCTCTCTACGTTGTTCATACTTTTTTTTAAATGCTTGTAGGTGCATGTATTTGCAGAAATTATTTGTGTGTGTGGTAGATTAATTTTCCTTATATGGTATACTTGTATTGAGATTTTTTTATGTTTCCGCACAATGATAGTTTTCTTTATATGTACATTCTCAGCTCGAGAAGTTATAGTCTCGATTGTTAGGGGGAATTATGCATCAGGTATTTATGCTTATTTTACATAAGGAATTATGTATTTAGTATAACTGTTCATTTACTTGAACTTGTACAATGATATTTTTATTTATATACATGGACGAATTGATAAAATGTTGATATTACCGAGCCGTTGAAATTATCCGAACGAATTTTGTATGTGTAATGATAACACTAAAGTAGGGTAAGATATTTAATTCATTCGCGTGTAATGAAACTAGTGAGGGATTAATTTCTCGAGTAGCATAAACGGCCATTCGCAGACAATTAGTTTGAGAATTAGGTCGTAAGTTATGTGTAGATAGACATAGTCTGAATCCAATAAAATTACATATGACCTCGAGGGTTGAGGCTAATGATTCATTCCTGTAAAATATAAAGGAAGATTTAGGTTGCTTTGTTTATATATTTGCAAGGAAAGATAGTTTGGAAAGAGACGTTTTACAACCCAAACAGAGTGAAAAGCAAAATGGGGGCTTTGTAGAACGAAAAGGCTAGATACCTAGACTTTTGGAAAGAAAGGAATGCCGAGCGAAACACTTACCAATGTAAAGGGACAAAAAGTACAGTCAATGTAGATCTGGGGGACGGAGTCTGACACAAGCTTATGAATTGATGCAGGACAGTGATATTCCATCTTCTGACTCGGGTTTCGTAATGATGATTTGATCCTATCGTAAACTGACTCGGTTAATTTTATAATCCTATTTGCATTTTAAATTCCTTAAATAATTCGATACAAAACTAAAGAAGTGTATCTTTCAAATTGTAATTTTTATATCATTTGCTTGTGAGATTTTGTTGTTTTAAATTTGATTACATTTGGTATTTATTTATAACGGGGTATCGAATTATTGTGTTCTGTATATTAGTTCAGATTACGTATTTATTCCACCCATTAGTTCATTCTTTGTGCTGACTCTTTTTTGATACCGGATCACCTCTAGATACAAAGCCAAAACCAGTAAGCCCGCCACAAATAAGTTGGGATGGGGAGGGGTTTACCACAGACTGGTATATTGCACAACGGAATAAATGAAATGGGACTGTTTCATCGTCAGCAGACGCCGTTTATTGTAGCCATGGTGGTAAATGTGATGCATTTTTACGGGAGAATTGTGATTTAAAACCATGACTGACCTAAGATGACGTACGGAAAATAGTTCCGTGTATTTTGAGCTGTTCAGGCGTGAAATGTTGACTATGAGTTACAGAAAGTTAATAAAGGGAAACTCTGCAGTCGTTTGGTTGATAGATATTATGTGTCATTTGCTGTTCGCAACATTTGTGAGATGAATAAGGCTTATGAACAATGACCATGCTTATATATTATTAGTTTAAATTTGCATTACTATAGGTTACAAAATGTCGTGTCTTATTGTCTGTACAAACCTGGTAGAAAAATATATTGATAATTGAAGATATTGATGGCTACATTTTATAAAATAGCAATATTTTAACTATATAGACACTGAAGAATGCTAAGAAATAATCATCGAAAACTTTACAATTGTCACATAAATGTCATTATCTTAGCTATCCCTCAAGGTTTCTTTTAGTGCTCTTTTGGTGCAGTAAGAGATTGGAAAACATGCACGTAGGTGTCATCATTCATGCATAGATTTGTTTTTGAGGCGAAAATAGATCGATTTATGCCCTCTCTTCAGTCGGATCCTTATTTTCCCTGCATGACCATCGTCCAGGTGACGCTTCTTTGTGTCATTGTTCTGATCTCACTGGCAAACAAATGTAGGACTATCCATGAAAACAATAAATAAAAATCAAAATAATAGAATTGATAAACAAAATAAGTAAATACTACATGATCTATCAGCCAATGACAGTATAGTGCATATAATCGGCTAGGACGTAATTTCCTTATATTGCAGAAAAATGCAAAAATGTGTTAAAGTGATTTGCAGCCGCAAACAAATATATTATGCTTTCTACCTGTTATTTATAGCAAATGTTTTAATTAGATACAACACAATAAACCCACAAAACACACGGATAAAAAATAATATATAGAATGTATAAGTACATCAGTTAGCGAATAAATAAATGAAAAGATCCATCGAACAAACTAGGTAAGAGATGAAATTACCTAAATAGTAAACAAGCAATGTTCAATTGGAAAAGTGTTTATCTTATACACGAACGCAAGAGGACATTTTTTATCTCTGGACACCATGTAATATTATTATAAATAATCAAATGAAAGAAATTTAGATCGATTGGCACCAACAACAGAGATAAGCATCGTTCAGACATATAATTCGCCTTTAGCAGTAGTTTGCGTGAATTCATGGTATACCCATTTCAGTGTAGGCCATATTATGCTGTTGGTCAGATTCAATGGTCTTTCATCATATTCAGTAAAGTAAATTATCAATTATCGGACTTGACATGCTAAGGTATGTTGAATTTAGTCTGAACCAAAGGAATGCATGTTAAAGTAGTTGATTGAAACTAAAGTGAAAAAACAAAAATATCGCAAAAGATCAGTAACGTAAAATATGGCATGCTAGAGAAAAGTGATAATTTAACTTCGTCCAGTACAGCAGTAACACCAAACAGCAAGATGACACGATATTTCTTCATTTCGTTAATGTGTCACAGCAGCGTTGACCTTTACCTTGCTGTATCCCCTTTAATGACTAGCTGGGTAGAAACAGCTTTAATAATTCGTCTCCTTAATAAGAAAATCTATAATCTCTTAGGTCCGGTAACTCTCGTCTGTTAAATTGTGCAATTATCCCACAGTTAGCATGATATATTCAATAATGCTATACTGGCTTCTTTATATTAAATTCCATAACAATGGTCTACAGCTGTTGTCCTTTCCGAACAAGAATATGTCTACTCACAACTTGGTCTGTGTATTAT